GAGATTGTCTCCACCACGGACATAGGTCAGGCTGGCGCTTAAAATTTCACACGGGGCCTGATCTCAGTTGACCCAATCAGAATCACAGGCCTTGCATTTTTTTATCGGAAGGGTGAGGACCATGGTTCTGCTCGATGGGCTCCTGGCAGAGGGGCGGGGGGAGCAGGTGGGGGGTAATCACGGTGGGGTGTGTGTAAAGTGTTTGCTGCCCCTTCAGTGCCTGCTCCTGGCACCTGCTCCACAGCACAGAAGCATACATGTGTCAGCTGAATGAGTGAATAGATTCGGAGAATGAATGAATGAATGAATGACAGAGTTCTGTAAATAAAATCACAAAACTATTTAAATGGAGATGAAATTCACGCAATATTAAATTGAACAGTTCAGCCCTGGCCAGGTAGCTCAGTCACAATACGCCAAGGTTGGGGGTTCAATCTTAGGCCAGTATGAGAAGAAACTAATGAGTATAAGAATAGGTAGAACAATAGGTCACTCTCTTGTGCTCTCTCTCTGTATCTCTTTGTCTCTGTCTCTCTCTTCCTCTCTTCCTCTCTAAAATCAGTGAACAGAGGAGAAACCAAGATGGAAGCATAGGTAAACACCTAACTGCAGCCTCACACAATTTTAATAAAATGCAACTAAAATACAAAATGGACATTACTCAGAACTACAGGAAAGTCTACTGACTGGAAATTCTACAATGAGAAGGAAAGAGAAAACCAGAAGGAAAATCAGAGGAGCTGTAAAAGCCTAAGCAGGGGTCTTCAAACTATGGCCCACGGGCCACATGCAGCCCACAGAGGAGTCTGATCCGGCCCGCCAGGTTTTTTGGGCAGTGAGTGCAGCCGAGGTGTTACAGTAGGAATTAGTAGTTCATATAGTCCGGCCCTCCAGCTCTCTGAGGGACCGTGATCTGGCCCCCACTTTAAAAAGTTTGAGGACGCCTGGCCTAAGGTATGGAGGCACATTGCGTGTATGGAGAGGACGAAGCCGGAGAGGAGGGGGAGGCTGGGTGCCTGGCCTAGCAGGAAGGAGATAAAAGCTCCAGGCTGTGATGAACCCCAGTTTCGACAGCACTGAACCCCAGTTCTGGGCGAGACCCTGGGGACCCAGACACATAAGGAGGGAGTCTGGGCTGAAAGGCGGAAACCCAGGGGAGCGGCGAAAGGAAGTCCCGGAGGTGCACACATGGTGCACAGAGAATGGACGGTTGACTGTGCCGCTGGATTGCCCTGGCGGGAAGGGGACAAAAGCTCCAGACTGCTCTGAAACCCACTTCCAACCCCACTTCCAACTGAACTGAACCCCAGTTCTGGGCTCATTGGGGGAGAGCCTAGACTGTTTGGTAGCGGGCGAAACTCGAGGGCACCTTTCTCTCAGAGGTGCTTAAAGTGAGTAACGAAGGACACTGAGGAACACTGAGACTCAGGAGCCTCATAGGGCTAGGCTGACAGAAGGCAAGGCTGTAGGCTCCACCCTGAAACTCCACCCCATCCAAGCTGAACACAGAGACTTTTAAGGCTACCAACTCAGGGAAGCTTCAAAAATGCCGAGACAAGGAAACAGATCACAAACGAAAGGAATGGAGGACAAAAAGTGACTGGATATAGAGTTCAAAACCACACTTATAAGGTTTTTCAAGAATTTCCTAGAAAAGGCTGATAAAATAAACGAGACCTATGAGGATATGAAAAGGGATCAATTAGAAATAATAAGGGGTCAACTAGAAATAAAGAATACATTGTCTGAAAAAAAAATATTATATAGAAACAGAATGGAAGATCACAAAAATCAAGTCAAAGATTTGGAACATAAAGAGCCAGAAGACACTCCTCCGCAGAAGCAAGAAGATAAGAGAATCCAGAAAGTTGAACATAATGAAACCTCTGGGACAACTTCAAGTGAACCAACATCAGAATTATGGGGGTCCCAGAAGAAGAGAGAGAGCAAGATACCGAAAACATACTGAAAGAAATAGTGACAGAAAACTTCCCCCACCTGGTAAAAGAATTAGACTTACAAGTCCAGGAAGTGCACAGAACTCCAAACAAAAGGAATCCAAAGAGGACCACACCAAGACACATCATAATTAAAATTCCAAGAGCAAAAGACAAAGAGAGAATATTAAAAGCAGCAAGAGAAAAGCAGGTAGTTACCTAGAAAGGAGCACCCATACAATTGTCAGCTGATTTCTCAACAGAAACCATGCAGGCCAGATGGGAATGGCAAAAAATATTCAAGGTGATGAATAGCAAGAACCTACAGCCAAAAATACTCTACCCAGCAAAGCTATCACTCAGAATCGAAGGCCAGATAAAGAACTTCACTAATAAAAAAAAGCTAAAGGAGTTCATCACCACCAAACCAGAATTATATGAATTGCTGAAGGGGGTTATTTAGGAAGAGGAAGAAAATAAAGATAAAAATTATGAACAACAAATACGTTACTATCAACAAGTGAATCTAAAAACCAAGGGAATTAAAAAATATGATGAACAATATTAACTGTTGAATATAATAGAATCAGAGGTATGGAAGGGGAGTGAACTGACGATTCTTGGGGGAAAAGGGGAGTGGGGGGTGTGGGAAGAGACTGAACATAAACTGTGCACCTAAGGATGAGGACATGGGGGGTGGGGAAAGGGCAGAGGGTGGGAACCTGGTGGAGGAGAGCAATGGAGGGGGAAAAAATGAGGAACATTTGTAATAATATGAACAATAAAGATTATTAAAAATAAAAAAATAAAATCACACACAAAAAATTGATAAATAAAAATCAATGAACATATCCTTGGGTGAGGATTAAAAAAAAAGGAACAGTCTGAGTGAACAGCCAATGGGAAAGTGCCAAAGACACCCCCAGAGGGAGCTCACAGGTCCTCAGGGAAACGGAGAGCCTGCCCGGAGGTCCTTCGGGAGCTTCCATGACCCTCCCATTCCTGGGCGAACACAGTGTCTTGAGGAGCCTGTAACCCGCGGAGAGAGCAGCCACAGGCCCCAGGGGATCCTCACCTCGGAGACCTCCCCTTTACAGCGGTCTTTTCTTTCTGGTGACTCAGCCTCCCACAGATAAGCCGCCCCAATCCCCAAGGAAGCCGGAGCGCCATTTTTCTTGCAAACCTTTTACAGATGTAATTTAACACAAGGATAAACTAATAAACTAGAAACCATATATTCTAGCAGTAGCACAATAAAAACAAGCCAATAGAAGAGACAGGTGAAGATGTTTTAGCCAAAGGAAAAGGAAAATAAAATAGAAATAAGGTTTAAGTCATGTTCTGCTCATAAATACCTTTAAAGAGAAATAAGAAAGGTAACGTCTATACCTTTTAATATATTTGGAGAGAGGTTATTTAACAGCAGTAAAAAGTTGATAAGTTCAGCTAAGGTTTCACATGATCAGGGTTAATTTAGTGTCTTCAGAAAGACACAGAAAGCAAACGTCGTTTTATAAAATATTTAAGATTCCTTCTCACTGCTGTGCCACAGATCCCAACAGGGCAAAGCTCCCTTCATCTGAAAAGCTGCAAGTGATATTTATAATCTGCAAACTCTCAAAACCTCACCATACAAAATACCATTTAGCAATAAGAAATAAATTATTAGCACATGTGACAACTTGGATTAACCTGCCAGGAGTTAACAGATGGGAAAAGAAGCCCATCCCAAAACGTTACATAGTGTCTGACTCCCTTACGTAACTCAGGGACATGGGACCAATGAGAGTCCCGGGGGCAGGTGTGGGGTTGCTGGGGGTGTTGTGCGGAGGGGCCCTCGGCTGCCTCCCACCGCACAGGCCCAGGCCTCAGACTAAAGCGCATGCACCTGCCCAAACAGCTACGTGACGTGGGGTCTGTGGAGGCGGGACTGTCGATGGTGATGAAGTCCCGGTGTGACTGTGGAGTGTCGCAGGATGCTCCTCTGGGGGACTGAGGAGGGCACATGGGATCTCTGCTAGTTCTTAGAGTTGACCTGTCTGCACGTCACTTACAATTAAAAGCTTAATTTTTAGAAACAGGAACAAGAATATCCTCCCTCCCTGAGAGCGAGTCCTTCCGGCTCAGCTCCTGGGGCACCCGTGGGCGTAAGCCTGTGCCAGGCTGCCTGTGTGTGTGCACAGATGGGGCTGGCACGAGGGCTCCCGAGGCGCTCGGGTCCTGTCTCAGCCTGGCCCGTGCAGCGGGCAGTCAGCGAGTGCCGGGAGCAGTGCCCCCGGCTGCTGTGCTCTGTCTGGGCAGCGTTCTGTGTGGGCCTCGGGCGCTCAGGACGCCTGGCTCTGCGAGCACAAGGAGTATACGGTGCCGGGGCCAGGGGGTGGCGCTGTTCGCCAGCCGTTGGCCTCAGCCCCGCCTCCGCCTGGATGCTGGCCCTGCCTGTAGACATTTCCCCCAGGAACTGGATGGGTTGTAGAAGAGGTCATTTTGAAATCATACCTATTAGCTGGTTTCATTAATATATAGATATAGGGATATAGATATTTGTGACGTCTTTATATATAATATAATTATTTTAAAAAAATGATTCCAGAGAGGAAGGCAGAGGGAGAGAAAGATAAAAACATCAATGATGGAGAGAACCATCGACCGCCTGCCTGCTGCACACCCCCCTCCCAGCTCCCTGATGGAGGCAGGACAGGAAGGTGAGCAGCAAACGCTGCGGAAAGGAGAGAAGTCGGGCGCCCCCTGAGAGTGAAACGGGCATCGCCCAGAAGTGTTGGCAAGAAGGGTCCAAACACCTGCACACATGTTTGTGTCAGTTCTGCTCCCGCAGTCTCAGGCAGGACTCTTGTCCATGCCCATGAGTGGACATGTGGATGGGCAGAGGAGTCTGCAGTGGGTGTGCCAGGAGAGGATGCGGCGCTGGCCACGGCACAGCCTGGGGCCTTGAATTCATGCTCAATGAGCTCAGGTACAGCGGGCATGTGTGAGCCATTGGCATGAGTGTCAGGGCAGGCACAGCCTCGGGGCGGGCGGGGTGTCCCAGACCTGACGGAGCCACAGGCACTGAGTGTGCAGTGCTGCTCCCTCTCAGGCCCGGCCAGTGTGGCTGAGGGGTTAAGTGTTGACCTAAGTACCAGGGTTCAATTCCCAGTCCAGGGTCAGGTCACATGCCCGGGTTGCAGGCTCCATCCCCAGTAGGGGGTGTGCAGGAGGCAGCCAATCCGTGATTCTCTTTCATTATTAATGTTTCTGTCTCTCTCTCCCTCTCCTTCTCCCTTCCTCTGAAAAAAGACCAAAAAACCTCAGAACTATACACCCCTCAAAACACTCGCACGCACACACACACACACACACACACACACCAAGCACACACACCAAGCACACACCAAAAACCCAAACTAAAGCGTAAACTGCGTTTCTGAGGCAGTGCTCAACCTGAGGGGGTGAGCAGGAAGCTTGCGTCCTCGCCCTGCCATCACACACCCACCGAGTGAGTCCGAGTGGAAACCATGCTGCACTGCTCTTTCTCCAGCTCTCCTTTCACATCTGAAGTAGTTTGGGATCAGCTGTAATATTTTTTGCTTTAGAAAAGTAGTAAAAATTAATTAATCTGCAACTGCACTGATAGCAAAAGTTAATAGAAATTTTAATAAAAATACAACCTCAATAAGCTTCCCTATTGTTCTAATAAATGAAATAGTAGTTTAGAGTGGTAGATAAAAGAATTAATAAAACAGCTGAGGCTGGGGACCATGCAGATCAAATGAAGGAACAGGGTCCCACTCAGCTCCCAGCAGGGGCGCGACAATGACCTCACAGCGCATCTTCCTCTTTACGCTGTGGGCAGGGGACTCGCATGTCTAACGAATGCTCCTGACTTGGTGGCTTATTTTTAATTATTCAGAGATGTTTATGCAACACCAAGACGTTTGGAGACAACTCAACCAAGTGTCCAAAGTGCAGTGATGTGTCGGCAGGGAAACAGGCAGGGTGAGGGTCTAGTAAACACGCCTGCTTCAGGGGCAGGGAGGAGCAGGTTTGCAGAGGCCCTGCCAGTTCGGTGGCTCAGTGTTCTTGTCTGATCAGAAGCTGGGGGGGAAGGAGACCTCGATGCCCGGAGAAACAGACCTCCTTTCAGAGGGGTCTCCTCCCAGGATCCACAGGGGCTGCTCCTCGGAAGTAAAGGAAGCCAGGGGTGATGGGTGACAAGCAGCCCCTCCACAGACAGACCTGGCTCTTGCAGGATGCGCTGTGGCAATGGAGGTGGAGGTGCCCACGTCATCCAGGCGGAGGGAGGGACGCTGAGGCCATCTGTTCTGTCTGGCACAGGGGCCACTGTCCCAGAAAGGTGGCCTCACTGCGGCCGAGTCTGTCTTGGGTCACCGAGGACAGCCCGTTGCTGGGCAGTGCCGGGACTGGGGGTGACATCCAAATGTCACTTTCCTTTTATTTTGTTCTTTAAAGTTTCACAAAGATCAAACAACCTCATTAGTGGTACTAGAGGCCCAGTGCACGAAATTTGTACATGGGGGGTGGTCCCCTCAGCTTAGTCTGGGACCCTCTCCAATCTGGGACCCCTTGGGCAGTTTGACTGCTGGTTTAGGCCCAATCCCTGGGCAGTCAGACGTCCCTCTCACAATCCTGGACCGCTGGCTCCTAATTGCTCACCTGCCTGCCTGCCTGGTCACTCCTAAATGCCTGCCCCTACTGGCCTGATCATCCCTCACTGCTTCTGCATGCTGGCCTGACCGCCCCTAACTGCCCCATCTGCTAGCCTGGTTGCCTCTAACTGCCCCCTGCTGCCAGCCAGGTTGCTCCCAACTGTCCCCTCCCTGCCAGCCTGATCACCCCAACTGCCCCCCTCTACCAGCCTGGTCACCCCTAACTGCCCCCCTTGCTATCCTGGTCACCCTCAACTGCCCACCTCTGCCAACCTGGTCGCCTCACTCAGCCAACCATTCAGTCGTTCGATGGACTTTCACTAATCCCCCTGATGGCCTGGTTGTAGGCAGCCATCCTGTGAGGACATGAGGGTCAATTTGCATATTATCTCTTTATTGTATAGAATTATCAATACTATTAAAATAGCACATAGAATATAGAGACGGTAAAGCAACAAGCAGACTGTCAAATTATAGCGGGGAGGTTAGGGAGATCTGGGGGAGATAAGAGATCAACTGAAGGTCTTATATACATGCATATAAGTACAACCAATGGACATAAAACTCTGGGGAGGGAGGGCATGTATGGGGGGGGCAATGGTATATGTACAAAGATAATAATTTAATTAAAAAAATTAAAAATAAATAAATAAATAGCACATAGAATGAAAAAAATAGCTCACTATGCCCTGTGGACCTACATGTACATAAATAGTTCCATTGTTCCTTTTTAGGAATGATTCAAAGTGGGACCTAAGGTCTGACTGGCTCTGCTTGTTTTCTTCAACAAAAGCTGTCAACTTAGCCTTGGCTGGTGCTGTCCAGTGGTTGAAGCACCATCCTATGCATTGAAAGGTCGCCAGTTCAATTCCTGGTCAGGGCACATGCCCTGGTTGTGGGCTTGATCCCCTGTTGGGGGCAGGCAAGAGGCAGCTGACCAATGATTCTCTCTCACATTGATGTTTCTCTCCCTCTCCCTTCCTCTCTCTCTAAAAATCAATAAAATAAATAAATAAATAAAAATAAAAATCAATAAAAAAAATTTATGTTGTAAATATAACATGAATTTTCCTGAGAACACAATGTCCCAGGAAGCAACCATTTTATTATTATTTTTGGAAACAACCATTTTAAATAAGACTCACAATGGCACTTGGTTCTGTGAAGTAAAGAAGGAGTCCTCATATCATCATACTGGTAAATAGAAACACAAGTTCCTGGACATGGGCTTCCCGGACGTGGGCACCCCTCAGTGTGGGCACCACAGGAGCCTGGGCATGGGGAGCTGCCACCCGCAGGGGCTTGGTCTCATAAGGGCTTCTATTTCAAGTGGGTTAAGGAGAAATGTAGGCGTGTGAGCAGGCCTAGAGGGACAGGACACAGTGACTGGGATTCCGGAGATGCTCCAGGCTGAAAGGGAGACCAGCAGCCCGAGGTCGGGATGCCCCGTGGGAGGGGGGTCCGGGGACAGCCTGGTGGGAGTGGGGGGCGCCTCCAAAGTGACGTGGCATATGTCAGCCGGCTGCGCCAGTCCCCTTGTGACCCTGCTGCCTTCCCTGGACCGCCCCTGGGACTCACCGTCACTGCCTTCAGCTTGAAGTTCACTGGGACTCTCCAGCATCCCTGTTCCTGTCATGGGTGGAGCAGGACTGACCTTTGTTAGGGACTTCTTCAGAGCCTTTAGTCCCCCCCCCCCACCCAGCCATGACTGCTGGGCAGGAGCCACCGGGGAAAGAGGTTCTGTGCCAAACGTCCCAAGTGTCACCTGTCCCCTGCCTCACCTGACCCCCTGCCTCACCTGTCCCCTGCCTCAGGCTCTGAGTGATAGGAGCAGACAGGCTGTGCGGAGGACCGAGCAGGTGCCCGTTAGTGCCGTTGGGCGGCACTCGGTGCTGCTGAGTGCAGGGTACTCGCAGCCACATAGGCCAGCCGGCCGCCACTGGCCTAACACACAAGCATGTAGCCGTTTGTCTTCCCACAGTGGCTTTATTTAACAAGAACTGATCTCCGCAATTTGGATTATTTTCCCTATTCCTTTTTATTTCAGACTCGGGTTATTAGCAGATAACTGCTCGTTTCTGCTGTAAATCAGGAAAATACTCATAAGAAACCCAGCACTGTGATTGCAAGAGTTTGGCTTGTAAAGAATGGGGTAATGAATGGCAAGATTAGGTGTTAAAAATAGGCTAAATTCAAAACTATTTTTTGTTCAGGAAAAACAAAACGGCATTTCTGAACCAAGTGAGGCTTTGCAATCCAACTCATAGTTGGCAGAGCATCAGGACGCAAGGCAGCCACTGGACTATCAAAACAGGTCCCGGAGGCTGAGGAGCAGATCTAGGGGTGGCCACGAGGAACCCAGCAGCCAATCTGGGTGCCAAGCTAGCCCCAGGGGACAGCATCTCCCCAAGTGGAATGGAGCTGACCGGAGAGCCTCACCCCGCCCTGTGGGGAGCTATAGTGCAGGCAAGCAAGGGCGAGTAGTAGCCAGTCTGTAAACTCTTTTTAAAAAATAGTTTTTAGAGAGAGAACTAGAGAAGCATCATTGATGAGAGGGAATTATTGATTGGCTGCCTCCTGCACGCTCCACACTGGGGATGGAGCCTGCAATTCAGGCATATGACCTCCTGGTTCATTCATCAATGTTCAGCCACTGAGCTACACTGGCTGGGCTGTAAACTCTTAAAAAAAAAAAAAAAAGAGTGCTGATGAGTGGAACGTGGGCCTGGGCTTAGGACGGTGGCCAGTGGCTGCAGCACCATCATCCCTGGCTCCCGGTGGCACTTTCTCCTGTCTCAGGGACCACATGGATCCAGGGGGTGTTTGCAGGCCTACTCCCTCCTCCTCCCCGCCCTCATTCATACACTCCTTTCCAGACTGGTGGAATTTTCTGCAAAATTATCCTGTCTAATCCATGGAGACGGAAAGTGGATTAGTGGTTGCCAGGGGCTGCGGGGAGGCGTCTGGCAGGGGAGCAGTGCTAATGGGCATAGGTGTCTTTGGGGTGATGGACATGGGGTACTAGGCAGTGGTGGTGATGCACAGCTCTAAGGACGCTGAGCATGCTCTGTGCACCTGGAAAGGGGGTCGATGGGTGTCAGTGACATCTCAGAAAAGCTGTCATTTTAATTTAATTAATTTATTTTTATTAATTTCAGAGAGGAAGGGAGGGAGATAGTAGCATCAATGATGAGAATCATTGATTAGCTGCCTCCTGCATGCCCCCTACTGGGGATTAAACCCCAGGCATGTGCCCTTGACCAGAATTGAACCCGGGACCCTTCAGTCCACAGGCAGATGCTCTTTCCACTGAGCCAAGCCAGCCAGGACAAAACAATAACTTTTAAAAACAAGAGGTAACCCAGGCATAGATAGTGGCTGGGTCCCTTCACCTCGCCTAGATGGGTGTCTCCATGCTCTGGGGGACAAACCCCAAGCCTGCTAGAATGGCCTCGCCACGTCTGTAGAACAGAAAATAAAAGCAGGAGGTGGTGGGTGGGCAGAGAGGAACCCTCAGTCACTGCAAACATGTGCATCTCAGTGCAGACTTGGCCCGGCAGCCTCTATCAGCCCAGTTCCATCCATAGGGACCTCCTGGGGCAGTGGCCCACCCTACCCTGCCACTTGGGTTGGAGGGAATTCCTCCTGGAGGATAGGGCGTCGCCTCCTTGCACACCCCTGCCCCTGCCTGGAAGCTGCCCCAAGTGCCAGTGGAAGGAAGCCCTTCATCCCAGCCTGCAGCCTGAGGGTCCATAGCCGGGAGGGTGTGAGCTGGAGGGTGTGCAGCTGGAGGGTGTGCAGCCTGGAGGGTCCATAGCCGGGAGGGTGTGAGCTGGAGGGTGTGCAGCTGGAGGGTGTGCAGCCAGGAGGGTGTGAGCTGGAAGGTGTGCAGCTCGGAGGGTGTGCAGCTGGAGGGTGTGCAGCTGGAGGGTGTGCAGCCTGGAGGTCCATAGCCAGGAGGGTGTGCAGCTGGAGGGTGTGCAGCCAGGAGGGTGTGAGCTGGAGGGTGTGTAGCCAGGAGGGTGTGCAGCTGGAGGGTGTGCAGCCTGGAGGTCCATAGCTAGGAGGGTGTGCAGCTGGAGGGTGTGCAGCCAGGAGGGTGTGAGCTGGAGGGTGTGTAGCCAGGAGGGTGTGCAGCCAGGAGGGTGTGCAGCTGGAGGGTGTGCAGCCTGGAGGTCCATAGCCAGGAGGGTGTGCAGCTGGAGGGTGTGCAGCCAGGAGGGTGTGAGCTGGAGGTGGAGCAGGAGGGTGTAGCAGAGGTGTGCAGCTGGAGGGTGTGCAGCCCTGGAGGTCCATAGCTAGGAGGGTGTGCAGCTGGAGGGTGTGCAGCCAGGAGGGTGTGAGCTGGAGGGTGTGTAGCCAGGAGGGTGTGCAGCCAGGGAGGGTGTGCAGCTGGAGGGTGTGCAGCCAGGAGGGTGTGAGCTGGAGGGTGTGCAGCTGGAGGGTGTGCATCTGGGAGGGTGTGCAGCTGGAGGGTGTGTAGCCGGGAGTGTGTACAGCTGGAGGGTGTGCAGTTGGAGGGTGTGAGCTGGAGAGTGTGAGCTGGAGGGTGTGCAGCCAGGAGGGTGTATCTGGGAGGGTGTGTATCTGGGAGGATGTGTATCTGGGAGGGTGTGAACTGGAGGGTGTGCAGCTGGAGGATGTGCAGCTGGAGGATGTGAAGCTGGGAGGGTGTGCAGTTGGAGTGTGTGCAGTCTGTAGGGTGTGCAGCTCAGAGGGTGTGCAGCTGGGAGGGTGTATATCTGGGAGGATGTGCAGCCTGGAGGGTGTGCAGCCTGGAGGGTGTGCAGCCTGGAGGGTGTGCAGCTGGGAGGGTGTGCAGCTGGAGGATGTGCAGCCTGGAAGGTGTGCAATCTACCTTTGACCACTACCTGGGCCTCCAGCTGGTGGGACAGGGGAGGATGGGCCCCCAGCAGCTGGTACTTCAAGCTCTGGGTGAGCCCTGCCCTGAGCTGTGGGGATGCTGGAGGCCTTTGCAGTGGGCTTGCACCAGCACCCCAAAGAGTCAGTGCTCTGGGCCAGAGTCGCTGGGGTTCTCCCCTTTTTCAGAGGAAAACGCCATCGGAAGAGGGCAGCCCCGGCTTAGTAACAGGCTGTTGTCTTTGTTTACCAGCCCATGAGGGGGACCTGCTCTCCGCTGCCAGTCCTGTCCAGGGAGGGCGAGGGCGGCCGCAGGATTAGCTTCCTGGCGGCGGCAGGCGCGTTCCGAGGCGCAGCTGCTCCGCGAGCCCCGCCAAGGGCCGCTGGCTCCCTTCGCCCGTAACGAGGGCGGAGCTGCCGGGTCGGACGGCTTCCTCTGTGTATTCAAGGCCGACTCCGTCCGCTCCGTCGGGGCCGGCGGGCCAGGCGCGGGGTCAGCGGGGACAATGGCCAGGCGCTCGAGGGGGTCCGGGGGCGGGCCTCTGTGCGGGTCTCATGCCGCCGGGCTAATGGGGCAGAAGAGATGGCGAGGGCGGCAGAAGTGCCTTTGAAGGAGGTGTCAGGACAGGCCGGCGAGACAAAGGCCAACCGCGCGGGCGGAGAGGACAGATGGGCCGGCGAGGGGACAATTAGCTGGAGCGCAGGGCGGCGGCTCCTCTTCCAGTTAACCAGGCGGGTGCCCCGCCCGGGCAGGAGCGGGGCCTGGACCGCGCTCCGCTGCGCCCCCCGCCGCCCTCCGCTGCCCTCCGCCGCCCTCCGCCGCGTGGCCGCCCGCCCTGCGCCCTGCGCCCCACCCTGCGCCGCCGGCTCCCGGCGCCCGCCCGCCCGGGGTCCGGGAGGGATGGTGAGTGGATGGATGAACCCCTCCCACAGCCCCTCGGCTGGGCCCGGCGACCCCAGCTTCCCGCAGGAGGGCCCGAAAACGCTGCCCCGGGTCCGCGCGACCCCCTTTCCCCTGCCCCGTGGCCGCAGCCTCCGCCGTCAGGGCCCCGGGACCGGTCAGCCAGTCCGCGGGCCCAGCGCGCCGCCGGCCAGGATCCCCGCCAGGCGGCGCTGCGCTCCTCCGAGCCGCCGGCCGCGCTCTGCAAACCACGGCTGTTTAATTAACGTGCAAATTGAGTAGATTAAATGACTCTAAATAATTAGCCACAGATCCTATAAACAGGATAACATATTTAATTAAGCAGCGATATAGATTTTGGAAACTGTTAATGTGTTTTAGAACGGCGGCTTAGATCTTTCACTTCCCCCCCGAACTTCAAACATGGAACTGCAGCCCTCGTAGGTGGATAAATATCTGGAACAAGAGGATGCCTGTTCACTTGCACTGATGGAGTGTGGGTTTAACCGGAGCTTGCCTGGCCCCGCTGGCCCCACTCGAGCGGGGCCGGTTCTGTTGGGCTCTGCACCCGGGGTGGGGGTGCAGCACCCCATCTTAACAGAGGAGGTAGGATGATGCGGAATGAGGGGGAGCGAGGGGAGTAAGTGAAAATACAACCCAATTTCATTATATCAATCACATTTAATTGGCAATTTGTACAAGCAATGACCGGGCTGGCTTTAGGTAAAACTATTAGGCGACAGGCGGGCGTGCCACTAAAATTCTTGGTTAGTTAATTAGTGTCTGAACTGCGGAGGGAAGGAGCCTCAGATTTACTCTCTACAAAGAGAGAGCAGCCCAGACAATTCATTAGGCAGGCGGCTTGTAAATTAGAGCTAAGTTAACCTGATTTCCCTTAATTAAAACATCTTTTCTCGTTTACGATGTGGATATAAGTAGATCTCCAGGGTTTTGAATTTTCTGCAACAGCAGATGGTCAGCTAGAAGCAGATAATAGTTAACGCTTTCTCTGTACCAGATCCGAACAACGTGAGCCGCCGGCCCATCTGAGGATTAAAGGAAGAGATAACAAAGAGTGTTAACCCTTCTTGGTCTTCCCGCTCGGGGCTCCAGGCTCCAGGGAGGGGCAGCCTGGCCTGGGGGACCTGGAGGGCACTTCGGCCTGGACACCAGGAACCCGGGCCGCAGAGGGGACAAGGCTGTCAGAGGAAGTGGCCACTGGGCTAGCTCCTGGGGAGGGCATATCAG